ACTCCAGCTGTCAGAGCAGCTGTCCACTCGTTTCTGTTTGATTAATAAACAATGATCAGCTACAGTAACGCGTTTATTATAGCAGCGCTCGTCTTTTGGTGGATTTTATTTTCTTTGTCAAATATTGAACATAACAGTCTGAATCCTTCCAGCATACACTCTGATCTAGCCCGTTCCTGTAGTGTTTCCGTTAGCTAACAATGGGCTTTCCATTAGCTAGCTCAAAGCAGACGCTAAAAATCTCTAAACTTGAGTTAAAATCACTTGCGTGGCGATACCTCCTGACTGCGGGATCCTTTTAGCACTTGACGTGTCAGCGCGATAACATCCCCGCTGCAGGAGCCCACTTTATCGGATAACAAGCCTTTGACAGACTGTCCGAACCGCGGCTGGGAATCAGCTGAAGCCATTTTTCTGTTTTGGCTAGCGATGGTGCGCGGGAAGGGACAAACGACACAGCAACGAGTTCTGTAGATTAGATAGGGCTCCGGCGCAGACGCGCAGTCTGGCTGTGTGCAAAATAAACTATACTATAACTAAATAATTTCTTTCTCACTTGCATGTAATGCAGTAAAATCATTTTGCGACTCCATTCTGTTCATCTAGTTTATTACTGACACGTTTTCAGACGCGTGACGCTGATTAAAGTTGTACAACATCCAGATTGAAAATGAAACTGTGGTCACATCATCCAACTTACTGCAAATCAAACTAGGAATGCTACAAAGCAACACACAGTCCCCCACAAATTAACTTCGTGCATTCGGCGTTTTCCTGCGTGGTTCCCATAAATGAATTGTGCAAAAATACCGCATACCTTTAATTAGCTAACTGGGTCTTCTTTATGATGTCCTGCACATGCGCGTACTCGCTCATTAAACTGACGTAATACTCACTCTACTAAGTAACTAAGTCCTTTCACACTGTTTCCTGTGTGTGCCTTTGTCTTGTTTTCTATATATTTCCTTTGTTTGCTATTTATTTATTTTACTTTTTCACTCCTGCACAGTTGGTGTGGAGCTCCTGTAATTTCTGTGTACATGTACAAAGTCAATAAATGGCTATTTTATTCTATTCT